CACCCTGCAGCCCCCCAACACTCACCGTCTTCTTCAGTATCTTGGCAGCGTAGGGGGTGCCTGTGCCCTTCTCCTGGCAGCTGTACACCACCGAGGTGGCTCCCCTGGAGGGGGGCAGAGGTGGGTGAGGTGGCCGGGCCATGGCCAGGACAGAGGGGGGTCCCGCTCGCCCCCCGCCCCCCCACCATGACCTTTGCCAGCACCAGACCCTGGGAGCTCAGCGTGCTTCTTCTCCCCGCACATCCCTCTCCCCGCATCATTTCCAGCTTTTAAAGCCATTTTAATTAAAACTGAGTCCTACCAGGGGTTTAAATCCCTAAGCGGCTTTCACGAGAGGCCGGAGCCTGCTTCTCCCTGCGCGGGGACAGCCTCGGGGGGACTGCAGGGATGTGCGGGCTCCCCAGCCCAGCCACGTCCCCGGCGAGGCCACGGCACACGGGGCGACCCCACGTCACCCCAAAACCTCCCCTCCAGGTTAAACCGCTCCAACTTACAAGAGGGATCGTTCCCGTTAAACCCCCAGCAGTGCCCCTCAGCTGCCGCTGACTTTTAGATCTGGTTAATACTGATTTCTAACCACTGGACAGTGAAATCAACCCATTGCTTCAGGCCATTACAGGGCTCGTTTGCAATTTCAGCTCGGCTGCCTGGCTCCTCGGAGCAGATTAATTCTCACCCCCAAGTAATCGACCACGTTTTATTGCTCTTTGCCTTCACCGTCTTTGGGGACCGAGTTCAGGCTGTGCCTTGAGGCGTGTGGCATCCCCGCCTGCCCCTGCCCTCAGCCCTGCTGACCCCAAAAAGCCAGCCCCGGGTGCCCAGGGGCCATTTTTTGCACCAAAATCTCCCCTGAGACCAAGACCAGCCCACAGCGCGGCTGCAAGCGGCCTCTCACCGCAGCACTGCATTCCGAATGCCCCCGCGCCGCCGGCGCTCCCCAGGGCGCTCTCGTGAAAAAGAGAGATTTGCTTTAAAAACGAGGGCGGATTTTGCAACTCATCCGGCTGAACTTGGGAATCGTGTTCCCATGGCAACGGCAGAGCCGGGTACCAGGGAGCCTGGGGCTGCTGCGGGGCCAGCAAAGCCTGGCGAGTCCAGACCTCGGCCGCTTTCAAAACATCTTCCTTTTGCTCAACATTTTCTATGAAATTTTCTTATGCAAATAAAAGGCAATTTGCAAACAAATTGCTCAGGCTTGGAGGGGAGAGGTGGCCGCCACCCTCCTCTGGCTCAGGAAAATGGGCAGAAGGTTTCACTTTGAACCCGAAATGGCATCACTGCCGCCGTGACCGCAGCAATAACGTGGTTCCAGCAGGAGGAAAAGCCGCGAC